GAGTCTTGTAGAACCCCTTGCTGATCCTTCAGTGATGTGGAGCGTCCTAACATTGGCAAAAGGTTGAGGTGTCCCTTTGGTTTTGACCTTGTAGACCAGTCCATCATCTGCTGATCTCAAGAGCTCCAAGCTTAAACCATTTGCATGAAAGTGCAGCTCAAGATCACCACCTTTGACCTCCCTTGGGATCTCCTTGACTTGTTCCTCCATTGGTGTGGGTTGATGCTCTATAAACAGATCAGATAGGCACTTTCCATCAAAGCTCTCTCCATCATACTCACTAGGGAGAAGCAAGTCATCAACCTTCAAGCTTTCCTTTTTGAAATGAAAGCAAGTCATCAACCTTCAAGCTTTCCTTTTTGAAATGAAGTGAGAAGGCATGTTCTTCCTTTCTGGACACTTTTTCCAATCCCTTAGCATCGAACTTAAGGACCTTGTCCTTTCCCAACCTTAGCTTAATAAGACCCTTCTGAACATCTATCAAGGCGCCAGCTGAGGCCAAGAAAGGCCTTCCCTAATTGATGGAGTCTTGTACAACACTGCTAATGTCAAGTACCATAAAATATGTTGGTACCTTAACTCCTTTAATCATGATAGGAAGATCAACCAGCAAACCATCAGGATTTCTTCTTGTTCCATCAGCTAAGACAAGAGAGATTCCACTCTCCTTGAAGTTCTTAAAGCCTAGACTCTTGGCAATTGAGAGGGGCATGAGATTTATGCTGGCGCCAAGGTCACACAAGTAGCTTTCAAACAAGGATCTTCCAACTGCACAAGGTAGTGTGTAGCATCGAGGATCTCGCACCTTCTTAGGATTTATGATCTCTGCAGTTTTTACCAGCCCAACTAATGGTGGCTGTTCCTTATCTTTACTAGCTCGCTTCTATTGTGAATGAATCTCCATCCCTTGCAGCTCTTTAGTCCTTCTCAATACTGCATCTTTGAAAAACTTCTGATAAGGAGGGATTAGTGCAAAAGTATCAAGTAAAGGTGTAGTTGTCTATATCTTCTTAATCTGCTCATCAAATAAGGGTTACTACTTCTCAACCAATTGCTTCTTAAACCTTCCTAGAAATAGTAAACGAGGCTTGTAAGATGGTAGAGGGATGTAAGGAGCTGTCTTCTCTTCTATGATCAGTTTTGGCTCCTGCTTTCCCCAACCCCCCCCCTTCCCCTCCACTTAGGATTTCATTGTCCTCATTAACAACAGATGGTCGGACAGAGTAAGGAGAAACATAGTCCTCACGATAGAGAAGTTTTTCAAGCTTAGCAATAGCAGCATCATTATCTGCTTGACTTGGGACTGCAAGACAAGAGATGGCATTGCAGAATTCCAGTTTTGGGAGGATAGGCTGGACAATTTGGTAGTGTTGATCGCAAGAGAGTAGGATGGTGCTCTTTGTAGCAAGTTCTTCAAACATTGAGCTAAGGGCCTCATACTTGCATTGGAGATCCTTGTAAGAGTTATCCATTATAGTAGTGATGTTTTTTTTTTAACACTGAATCATTTCTTTAGAATCTGAAAGTTTCAAATTGCAAAACTACAACAAAAACTCAAAACCATGACCAAAGCCAATAGGCATTAGAGGCAGAAATAAAGCAAAACCAGGAACTTGTATGTTTAAAATGGGACCACAAATGTCTCGAGAGAGGAAGTTGTAGCCCTTTATCCTAATTGGGCATCTTGTTGGATAATGAGTTTAAGCCAACGAGGGCTGTGTCGAGCAATGTATGATTGGTGCCTCTAATCTGGATTACACTTGAAGCAATGGCTTCTGCAGCTCTGTAACCTGTCTCAGACGTATAATTTAAACTCCAAAACTCAAAGGGTTGAAGGAGGTTAAAAATTACATGCATAAGGTGTGACTGTTGAGGGAAGGTAGTTGGGTTTAAGAGGGCTTCATGAACAACCAAGGAGGAAGATTCAAAGATCACTTGTTGCTGATGCAGACTACTCATGCTTTTTATGGCCCATATCAAACTTAGCAGATCGGAGTGGAGCTTGGATGTCATGTTAGCGAAAGATCACCGACTGTGAAGAAGGACTTCTCCTGTATGAGAGCGGAGGAGCCATGAAGCTCCACCATTCTCTCCAAGTGGCGACCATAATGATCCCACATTGCATTTTAGCTTGTTCGTGCTTGGTTTTTGCCAATTTGATGGAGTTGTTGAGACGTTGTTTTCTACCCCTTGATTTGATGATGATTGGTTGACGTGAAACCATGCCTCCGTTTTTTCTTCTGCTTGAGAGAGGATTCCATCAGGGTCATGCCATGTTTGTTCAAACACCAGGGCATTTCTAACTTTCCAGAGTTGCCAAAGTATCCACAGGAAGGGAAGTCTGACAAGTGCAGGAATCTCACGCTTTTTGCTGCAGGCTATTAAGTGATGCACGTTCAATAAAACAGAGTTACGAGGGAAACCTCCTTGAGTTAGGGAAATTTTTGATCGCATCCACATGTATTTAGCAACTTGGCCATCAAATAGGACATGACATATAGTTTCAGATGCTGTTCCACATGCCTTGCAAGTTGTGTCCAAATGGATGCCTCGCGTGCAGAGTCTCCCCGAAACCGCTAGAGCTCCCGATAATGTTCTCCATAGAAAATGTCTGATTTTTGGCGATGTCTTAGTCTTCCATATGTTGTTCCATAACTGCTTTCCAAAGGAGGTAGTGGATGAGCTGGAGGACCTTGAAATGATCGCAGCGTCTCTGAAAGCTTATAGCCACTCTGTGTATTGTATGCACCATCCTTACTAATGCTCCATAAGAGGGAGTCTTGACGTAGAGGGAATACCTTAATCGTCAAGATACGCTTGTCATCTTCTTCTGTAAAGCATCTTCGTACTTTTGGTGCATCCCATATTCCGGTTCCTCCGATAAGTAGGTCCTCCACCGTGAGTGTAAGGTCTATGGGATTAGGCGGATGATACATCAGAGTCCTTGGGATCGAATCCATAATCCACTTAGCATACCAGACATTCGTATCTCTGCCATTGCTGATTGTTGTGATCAAGCCCTGTTTCATAAGGTCCCTTCCATGAATGATGCTTGGCCATGCCTATGATGGTCTTGTTCGCTTTCCACAGTCTAGGAAGGAACCATTTCTGAAATATCTCGTTTTCATTAGCCTAGTCAGCAAAGATTCCAGTTGACTCCAAATTTTCCAGGCTTGTTTTCCCAATAGCGCTTGATTGAAACGTTCAATGTCAAGAAAACCGAGGCCACCCTCCTCTTTCTGAGTACATAGCTTTTGCCAAGCGACCCACGATATCTTGCTTTTGTTATTACCGCTACTCCACCAGAATTCAGTCATTGCACTTTTGAGCCTGGCGCATAAATCCTTCCGAAGTTTAAAACAAGACATAGCATAAACAGGGAGAGCTGGAGCCACTGATTTTAGGAGAATCTCTTTACAACCTTTTGAGAGAGCTTTTGCAAACCAGCCGTTTAAACGTCCTTGGAGTTTCACCTAGATAAAGTTAAGTAATTTTATATTCGACCCACGAAAGCTCTCCGGGAGACCAAGGTAAGACCCTTCCCCACCTTCTTTGATGATTCCCAAGGCATTTTTGACTTTTCTTTTCACTTGCTCCGGAACCCGAGTTCCAAAAATGATTGATGACATCATTGTGTTTATCATCTTCCCTTAAGCTTGTCTATAAAGATTCAAGAATCTGGTAATTTCATCGCTTTCGACAGCAGAAGCTTTGCACATCAACAAACTGTCGTCATCAAAGAGTAAATGGTGAACAGACGGTCCATTCTTTGCTAACTTAATCCCATGAAGGCGAGCAGCAGCTTCTGAAACATTCATGGTATTGACCAGAGCTTCTGCACAAAAGATAAATATGAAGGGAGATAAGGGATCTCCTTGTCGGATACCTCTTTCCAGTTTTACAAAGCCATGAGGACGGCCGTTCAGAAGGACATCATAAGACACTGTGGTTACACAGGCCATCACCCAGCTTATCCATACTCTGTCAAAGCCTATTTTTTCCATTAGCGTTTCCAAAAAACACCATCCTACTCGGTCATACGCTTTGGACATATCAGTCTTGATAGCCATGAAATCTCCCTTAACCATATCATTCGTCCTCAGGCCGTGGACCATCTCATGCGCCACAATGATATTATCAATGATAGATCTTCAAAAGAGAAAGGCTCCCTGAGGATCCGAAATGATTTCTGGCAGAATCTGTTTTAGCCGGTTGCACAATATTTTAGATACTATCTTATACTGAACAGAGCATAAGCTTATTGGTATCATGTCCATCATCAATGTAGGATTATGTATCTTTGGTATGAGACAGAGCTGTGTATGGTTCCATCATGGGGGAAGAATTGAAGTTCTGAAGAAACTCTGAATCTCTGCAATTGTTGCAGGCCGTACGATGTGCCAAAACTTCTGAAAAAATATCCCAGTAAATCCATCATCAGCAGGAGCACTATTGCCTTTTACAGGGAAAACATCTTGTTTGATTTCATCCTCTGTTAGTTGGCCTGTAACAGCAGAGTTCATCTCCGGGGAGATTCTTTCTTGGAAGCCTTGAAAGAGAGTTTCAAGGTCAAAGGGGTTTGAACTCATAAAGAAGTCTCGGAAATATTCCACCGCCATGTTATGTTTAGATCCTTCTGAGAATTGTTCCTCACCCATTTCATCCAGGAGCATTAGTATGTGGTTATTTATTTTCCGTCCCTTGACACTATTGTGAAAGAACCGGGTGTTTCTATCGCCAAGTTTCAGCCATTGATCTTTACTCCTCTGTCGCCCGAAAAATCTTCATGTTTATACGCCTTAGCAATCTCAATTTTGAGACGTTGCATGTTCCTACGATTAGGGAAAACTCTTGTAATCTCCCTTTCAAGGCTTTTGTGAAGCTTCTGGAGTCTGTTCTGCGAATTCAAGTTAGACGACCGTTTTCTATTTAGCCAGCTCCTTTCTGCAGTTCCCAATGCGATCCATGAAAGGGGTGTTTGAGTTGGTATTGTCCTCCCCCTAACCTTTACATATAGCTTCTTCAATCCCCACTTTGTCAATCATTCGCTTGTCAAAGTAGAAGCGTCCTTTGCCAGCTTCTTCCTTCTCAAGAGCAAAGCTTACTATAATTGGTCTGTGGTCAGAGGCCAACTTCTCTAAGTACTCAATTTTTGACTGCGGGAAGAGGTTAAACCACTAGTCGTTGCCAAAACTTCTGTCCATACGACATTGTATCCACACCTGATCTCGCCAACCGGACCAGGAAAAGATATTCCCTGAACTCCTGATGTCCTTTAACTTACAATTTTCCGCCATGACACGAAAATCCCAGTAAGTTAATTCATGTCTTGCATTGCCTCCCCGTTTTTCAGAACTGTTCATAAGCTCATTAAAGTCTTCCAATAGCACCCATGCCTCGTCTCTTCCGAGACCTATACTACTTAATTAATCCCCCTCTAGCTTCCTTCTTGTCCTGACTGGATCACCGTACACACAGGACCAGAAAAAATACATCGAACCCATTCCAACTTTCATGTCAATAATTCTCGAATTTGATGAGAGAATCTCAACATTGAAGCTTTTCTTCCATATTACAGCCATGCCACCACTCAAACCCACCAGCTCAACTGTAAATACTTCTTCATAACCTAACGTAGACTTCAAGTTTGTTATGTAACCAATCTTCTGTTTTGTTTCCATGAGGAATAAGAGATCTGGAAAATACTACTTACGCATTTCCCTGTAACGTTAAACTGTTTTGGTGTTCCCCGCACCTTGACAGTTCCAGCTCAGTGAACTCATTGGGATGGCAGCGGCTTCAAAACGGAAGCCACCAAAATATCTTGGTTGGAGTTGTTGTTGAATCTCTCTACAGTCTCTCAGACATTCGACTCTGCTTTTCTCTTACTGCTAATCTCAATAACATCCACAGTCTCTGAAACTGGTTTTTGTGTCATGTCTATTTGCGGAAGTTTCCTGATGTTTCCCTTCTATGCAGGTGGTCGATTTCTGGATTTTTTAGAGTTGCACTGAGTCCTGGATTTGTTCAATGTCCCAATATTGAACACCGTTGGACTTGCAGAGTTAACAGTAGCTGAGAAACTATATTCACCAGATAGTTGTTGATTTTCTCCTAATCTTAGGGGGAGACCCGGATCCGAGATGGTTGGTCTTGAGCCCCCAATGCTTATATCTGTCAAGCGATCATTTTCTTTGTCATATGTGATGACCATTCCTTTGCCTTTATTAACATCAAATGTGAATTTTGGCAGTTCAATAGATTTTCCTGCGACTTTCTCCTCAATTGACGCTTGTACTCTTCTTATTCGTGCCAATCTCTATGTTTCATTGGAGTGTAAAACATACATCATCTCCATCTGTCTTTCCTCTCTAGGGAGCTCTGGGAACAGGGGAGGGAAACCCGGAGGTCCTTCGGGTGATCCCTTTTCTTTAGGGCTCTTGCCTTGAGGAGAGTCAGCAGCATCTCTTTTGTTGTGTGGGCCTCCCTGATGAAGGTTCCGGGATTTCCTTAGCAAGGGACACGTTGCTTTCTCGTGTGTAAGCCAAAAATAGTGGAAGCACTTTTTACGAAGTTTTTCATACTCGTAAGTAATCAGGACAGATCCTCCTCCTCTTGGTAGGGTCATTGTTTTCTCTTCTCTAGCAGGGTTGTTGATATCAAAACGGATCCGTGCTCTTACGTAATCCACTCTCTGCGATGCCTTTGGATCGTAGGCCACTTCTTCAACATTTCCTATGGCCTTGCCACAAGCCATCATCGTGTCTGCCGTATAGTAGTTGTACGGAATGATACGTATCCGGATCCAAACGTTGAAACTGTTGAGAAAATCCTCCAGAAGATTTGCAGTCCATCTCTCCAAAATCATTGTCCAATGATTAAAGGACCACGAAAAATCCTTAAGGACAGTTTGGATGTCTTCTTCCCATTGGAATATGAACTGGAACTTATCACGGGATAGGGCAATACTTCGAACTCTGTCGTAGAGACGCCAGTGACGAGGCATGTCCTCAATCATTCTCGACATGGTTTGGTAATCTGGATTCAAAAGTCTTCCCAACAGACTTAGGGAATTGTTATCGATGACTGTGAATTTAGGATCGTCCCCCAGGACAATAGGGTCGTCATCTTCGATTGACATAGATTAATCGCTTTGTGGAGTGAATCCAACATAGGAGAGCTCGGCGATGTTACACCGGAGGGATTGGTGCGCCATAAAGGGTTTCTTTTGGGAAGTAGGTCAATCACGGTTGATGAGAAAGTTCCATTAAAGGGGCAATATTCGGAGACACTTTTTTGGGAAATCATGTTTGTTTTTAAAATTTTATCAATCACGTTGATCGAGAAAGGCAATTTTCACAGAAAAAGGAAGTATGAATATGTAGGAGTGAGAGAAAAAGAAAATTTGAAGTTAGGAATACCGTAGCAATAAAGCCGGTGAGTAAATGCTCTACTCGATAAGTGAGAGAGGAAAAAAAGAAATAAAACCCGAACCTTCGAAGACAACAAGAGAGTCCTAAGCTCTCTTTTGCGTTTATTTTTAAAACGAATTCTTGCGGCTAAAGAGTTTAGAAAACAATTTTCTTCGAGTAGTGATGTTAGAATGGCTAAGAAGAAGCTGTTGTACCATGGTCTTCACATCATCATTAGTACTAGAGGGGGCACCACTTTTCTGTTATGCAGGTGCAAAAGTGGCTGGTAAACCATGTTAATGGTTCTTGGGAGTATATCTTTGTTGACCTTGGTTGAAGTTGCTTTGTTGCTGATATGCGTAGGATTGTAGAGGTGTGTGAATTTTGCTCCTTTGTTGGTATCCATGCTGATTCCCATAGCCGCTAAAGCTTTTTTACTGGTTCAGATAGTTTCTAACATAGTGCATGTCTTCAACCAAAGCTGTCTCCCCAACTTGAGCTTGAGCATAGTTTCCCTCAAAGTTCATTTGCTTAGGCTTGCTTTGAAGGAGCAAGTCAATCTTGGCATGAAGTAACCTGATCTCTTATTGTGCTTTGTCTTCAGCTTCTCCTCTTCACAAGTAATCACATTCATCAGCATAGTTCCCATCACTGTGGACAAAATTCTCCACTAGTTGCAAACTCTCTTCAACACACTTGTCCAAGAAGTGTCCATTTCTTGTTGTGTCAAGGAGCATTCGAAATTTAGGTGACACACCTCGGTATAATGTGCTAAGGAATGCTCCATTTGAGAAGCCATGATGAGGACAGCTCATTGTGTAGCCCTTGAAGCTCTCCCATCCATCACGAAAACGTTCTTGAGGTTGCTGTTTGAAGCTGTAAATGTCATTTTTTAACTTAGATGTTCTTGAGTTGTTGAAGAAGTTAGCAAGAAAGGCCTTCTTGCAATCTTCCCATTAAGTGATACAACCATGAGGAAGTGTCTCTTCCCATCGATAGGCTTTGTCTCCAAGTGAGAACGGGAAGAGTCTGAATTGAAAAGCGTTATTTGATACTCTTTGAACCTTTATCAGGCTGAAAACTCTATCAAACTGATCTAGAGGCAAGCCATGAAATTTTTTGCCTTGAATTATGGTGATAAAGCTGCTCCTGATTTTGAAGTTTGTGTTGCAAAGAGAAGGAGGGACAATAACATATCTGTTAGCATGAATGTTTGATGTATCACGAGCCCCACTACTCCTCACAACTCTTTGACCATTCTCCTGAAACCGTGCAGTAAAGGGAACAGCTCCTTGGTTCCACTGAAACTGAGCGCCTTTCTCTCCATATGGTCCTGGACCATCCTGACCGTGAGGGTCATCCATACTCAGCTCTGAAGATGCTGATACTCTTCTCAAACTGCTCTAACTGCTCTTTCAAAGGCGTTGGGATGAAGTCAATGGTACCTAAAAGAGAGCAATGCAACTAAAGAAGATTAGTACTGAAATAAATGGCTTAATATAAAAAAATATTCAAACACAAATATTCTAAGATCTCACTAAGGCAACGACACCAAATTGATAAAAGAGTTTTTTCACTCTTGTGACTCAATTCCCCTTGAGTCTGAAAATTAGATCATTGGAGCATAAGGGGTTATCAATCCTTCATTTGATTAGTCTAGAGGAGATGCAGAAGATTTGCTTAGAAAGGCCTAAATTGGTGTTTTAAAAGGCTAATACTAAGGGTTTAAACAAGGGCAAAAATAAGAACAAGTACCCAACTAAAAGCAAACTCAAACAAGAGACTTAAACTCAAATGAACTCAAGAACAGAGCAATAAAAAATAACAATGGCAAGCTTAAACAATAAAGGGCGAAATGGTTGTAAGATGGGGAATAAGCATTGGGATGACTGCAATGGTGATTAATGATGCTTTAAACAACAATGACAAGCTAATCCTTATGCAATGAATAAAAAATACTCCCTCTGTTTCATAATAAGTGTCATTTGGAGAAAATGTATCTGCATTGTAACTAGATGTATCTGGATGTATTTTGAGTTTAATACATCCAGATACATTGCAGATATATTTTCTCCAAATGACACTTATTATGAAACAGAGGGAGTACAAGACTAATCCAATCCATTGGTAATAATCTCTTTACTAATCATAAATCCCAACCCACTTTCAATGGTGAAAATATCACTACCAAGCATTAATAATCAGTTCTACAAAGCATAATAAGCATCTTAGACAACTAATCCCTTAGCCTAAGAATGCAAACCACTTAATTAGTTCACTTAGGCATTTCATCAAACACTTGCAATGCAGAGAAATTTTATGGTCAAGAATACATTTCCCAAGGCTAATCAAGCATGAAGAACACTAATTAAACAAGGATAATTAAGAATGAAGAGCAAAACATCATTAATCAATCTTTTAATCAGCCTAATTGCCACATCTCAAAACCCTAAGGAACTACTCACCAAAAATAATTGAAACCATAAGCAAAAAAATCAAGCATGATTAGGGAAATAGAAATAATCAAAGGTTAATTAAAATGATCCATGATAAACAAGTTCTTAAAGAGATTACAAAAGTTTTTTTATGTTTAGAAATGAATAAGATAGTTTAAAGAACGGATAACCCAAATATTTTCAGATTAGAGCTATTTATAGGGAAGAAGAGTAAATGAAAAAGTCAACAAAAAATTCAACATTCAGAATGATCTATACCAAGGAAAGACTGAGTTGTTCTGGTCGGTATGTTCTCCTTGGTATGGGTCTGAAACGCTTTGCAGGACGTGGTGGAAGAATTGCCGTATCTCTTCAACCACTGACCGAATGACCTGATTCCAACTTCATTAGAAAGCTAACTCGATCTTGTCAACTTCTGTAAAGGACGCTGAGGCTGAATCGTACTGAACAGGCTCAGTTCTGATCGATCAACCAGTCGGTATGGCTGCACCGTGGAGATGAACATATGCCTTGCTCGATGGCAATTATACAAAGGAAAAGCCCGCCGTATGAAACAACAGTTTTTATGCCCTTGAAACTAATGTTCCTCAGTCCTAATCAGTTTTAGTAAGTATGAGGTGTCAATCACAGGTGGATTAAGAGATGCAAGTAATGCCATGAGGTAAGCAAGAATGGGGTTTTGATTATGCAAGAACAATTCAAACAACCTAGCAAAGCAAGAAAACAGAACAAAAATACAAATAAACAAACATTAAGCAAGATGAAACTAAAGCAAGTACTATGTAAGATAAACTAAAGCAAGAAGACAACTCAAACAATACTAAGCAAGGTGAATTCTGTAAATAAGCAAGCAAAGACTCTAAGCAAGAATGCGGTTTTAAGAGAATTAACAAAAGGCAAGATCTAAGATCCTAAGCAATAATGGTCAAGTGGTTTTCTAGAGTGACTATGGGGATTTCTAACAAAGGCAAACATCAAGCAATCATAAGCAAGCAAATCTCAATATTGCAATCCTAAGCAAGGTATATAAGGAAAGATCTTTTTAATGGTTAGTAAGCTAATCCAACTAAACAAGACTAGAGTGTCAAACCACTAATGATGGTGTATTCTCTAATCATGAGCATAAAGAGCAGAACCATAAAGCCTAAAAGATGAACTAATCAAGAAAGCATCTCTCACCCAAGCAAGAATTCAGATCAACCTATCAATCGTTTGAACCATATAGGGTCCTAAGTAGCAAACCTAACAATGCTAAGAAATGAATAGGATTTAAGCAAAAACATGTTCTATCAATGCATACTATCTAACCATCAAGCAAGAGTATCATAACAAGCACTATCTAGCCCTAAGCAAGGTGAACTATCACTTTGGTGTCACTGAACAAAGCAAACATAGACCAAGCTAAACTATCAATCAAAATAGGCGAATCATGCAAAGAACAAGACTTCAAATCATCAAGTGAATCATATGCATCAACAATACCATATTCAATCAAAAGGGAGAAGCGTTATAAACAATAATCACTTTGAAAGAGAAGGAAACAACAGAGAATATACTAATGAAGCCTCATCGCCCCTTAATCACATCTTAATCACCACTTTCCCTACCTAGAACTTTAAATCTAAGGTAAACTACTTACTAATCATGTTTAATCGTATTTGATTAGAGTTTATCATATATAGATGGGATAAAATGCATAAATAAGGAAACTAAACTACCTGGATGAGGAAATAAGGATCAAGAGACAAGATTAAACCATA